AGGACAAAGTTGGAAGCTCATTGTTTTAGATTATGTGAGCTCCTGTAACAAACAACCCCACAAATATCACTGGTTCATCAAGATCACAGTTTGTTCTAGGTCACATAACGTCCATGCTTGTGCACCAGCAGTGTTCTTCCAGGTGATTTTCACCCACCTGATTCCTTCTATCATGTACCTCTGTCATTTTCAGTGTCACCTTCAACTACACGTGTGGTCTCCTCAGGGGGCCATCTGCATCCCAGTGCGCTGGCAGGGGAAAGAGCAGGGAAGATCCAAGGAGCGTGGGTCCCTCTGATGGGGACGCAGTCACAGCCACCACCCAGCCCCTTTGCTGGGGGCAGCCTGGGAGATGCAGTCAGCAGGTGGCCGGGCACTGGGCTTGGTAAAGAGCCCGAGCACTGCTGGGAGTGATTGCTAAGGCTCATTTCAGCAGCACAGCTCCTGAATGTTCATCCCCTTGGCTGCCAGAGCCCTGGTTAAGAACCTCTCTCCGGACCAGTTCCTTCCTGCCTCTGCTTTCATCTGGGTCAGCACCCACCCCAGTGGGCTGCTTGCTGAGACACAGGCCACGCCTCACTCTTTCTTCTATTCCCCATGGTGCCAGCACACTCTTTTACACAGATTCTGCACTCAAATGTGAACTGGGTGGGTGACTGACATAGATGGTCTCTAAGGAGCTCTGGGAGGAGGGGGCACAGCCCTGGTTCTGCCCTGGCTCTTCTGTCTTTCATTGAACTGTGGCACTCTTCCCAAGCCTTGGTTTCAGGGAAGTTGGACAATAGTATTGACCTCGAAAAACTGTTGGAAAGACTGATGGGATAACAGCTTTAAGGCGCTGAGCACAGCGTCTGGGTGCATAACTGCACCCAGTTTCCTCTTTGCATGTGTCTGTGCCATCCTGAGACAGTCTCAGCAGGGGTCACATCCACAGCTAGCAGAACCTGGACAGGTCAGCTCCACCTTGTATCTGCAAATGGCCTAGGAGTTTGGCACCATGGAAAATAATATCTAGAACATTTGATACATTATTCAGGGGCCCAGCTGAGCCTTGAAGTCCCGGCAGGATGAGGGAAAACATAGTCTCACTACAATTCCTTACATTTATACAGTAGTCTGTGGTCCTCGTGGGTCTTTTACCTCTGTGGTCCTAGTTCAGGGTCCCACTTTCTCTGCGAAGCACCAGATAGTTAATGCCGTAGGTTTTGAGGCCAGATAGTGTGTCACAATCACTCAGCTCGGCTGGCTGGTGTGCAAGCAGCCACAGATAGCATGTAAACAAATGGTTCTGGCCATGTTCTGACAAAACTGTTGACAAAGAGAGGAAGCAGGCTGGACTTGGCCTGCTCACTGCTCCACTGAAGGTTCAAGCTTAGTCATTTTTGTATCACATGGCTCTTCGTGCTGTAGCTGATAGGACTGGGATGACAGGAACCCAAGGCCAGTGACCAATCAAACAATTTCCCTAGAGATTGGAATGACAGTGTAAGCCCATGAGGATCAATCAGCCTCGCTCATCCTGTCCCAGCACATCACAGTGCCCTCCCTGTGGTATGAAATGAAGGGTAGACCCAGCAGCCCAGAGGCTAGTCAGGGCATGGCGGACTGCAGACTATGCCCTCCTGCCGACTGTGTTTCCCAGGCTGCCTGCAGCAGTGGGGCCAGGTGGCTGCTGTGCCCGTGTCCCATCAGAGGGACCCACTCTCCTTGGATCTTCCAAGCTCTTTCCCCTGCGAGTGCACTGGGATGCAGATGGCCCCCGAGGAGACCACACGTGTGGTGAAGGTGACATTGAAGATGACAGAGGCACATGATAGAAGGAATCATCTGCATGAATATCACCTGGAAGAATGTTACTGTGCATGAGCATGAACATTACATGACCGAGAACAAACTGTAAACCGCACGATCATAAATCCTTGTGATAGATCAAAAAAGAGAGAATGAAGAGAAGAGAGACCATGTGGTCCAGGGAAGAGAGAGACCCAGAAACAGAAAGACAAGAAGGACAGAGATAGGCAGAGATAGACAGACTTTGAGTCCTAACGACCAGCTCCACCTGAATTCCAGTGACCCTCAAACGCCCCTTCTGAGATCTCTGGGGGGCGGTTTCTGCTCCTAACCAGGGCAACGGTATGGCAAGGACTGGGATTCGGACCTCCTGAGCTCTGTCCCAGGATTTCCCCTACTAGTCAGTTGTTCTCAACCCTTTTGTCTTTCATTCCATCGGAGACCACATCAAAAACCAGGCTCCTCCATGAGGACATGGACCTGGCTTTCCTGGAAGAGCCGTCTGAAGTGCTGGGCATCGTGCGTCCTCTGCAGTGTTCCTTACACCCTGCATCTTACCTGGATTCCATCATCCCATTCTTGGGGCTGCCCTTTCTGCCCATAGAACTCCTGGGGGTTAGAAAGCACCCCAGGCTGCAATAGCCTTGAGTCTGTCTCCTTATATGAACAGAGCTCGTTCCACAGGCAGTACACACACACACACACACACACACATGCGTGCACGCACGCGTGCCATTTCCTGTTTTCATTCACTGTCAAGCCCACCTGCTCTTGAGTTTCCTCTTCACGCCGCCAGCATCTTGAACGTGAAGTTGCTGCACAATCCTGCCGTGTTCAGGCAGTGCTCCCAGCTCCCCTCATTTCCTCCTATTGTTTGAAGGGGATGCTTTTGATGCTGTGTGTGTGTGTGTGTGTCTGTAACTGAGGAAATGGCTGCAAAATGGTCTGTTTGTCAGGGAAGGAATGGAGATTTTAAATTCTAATTCCTGGGGAAGAAATGAGGAGAGGAGGCAAGCTGTGTCCTGTCCTGGGTATCTTTAATGCATTGAACACACATTTGCAGAACGCCTGCCTTACTCAGCCCTTTGCAAGGCCCTGAGAAATGCTCAGGAGACAACAGAGGAAAATAAGACCTGGACCCAAGTCCAGGGGAAGTTGACAATGGGCAGGAGGCAGGGGGAGGAGGAAGGAAAACAACCACCATTTGCCGAGTCCTCACTGTGGGCCTGGGACCGTGCTATGTAAACCCTTTCCTCCCTGCCACCTGGAGAGTGGGTTTCATATTTACGGATGAGGAAGCTGAAGCCCTGACAGGACGTGACACAGCTCCGAAATGGGGAAGCCGAGATCTGAGCCAGGGCTGCCGTGGCTGGGTCCCCAGGCCAGGCTGACTTCAGCACTGACACAACTAGGAAAAGAAGCATTCCCGCCCGCAGACGTGAGTGAGCCGGCTGCTGGGCCTGCAGGTGCACGAAAGGACTCGGGTGGCCAAGAATGAAGGCAAGGCTCCTGGGCGAGGAAGCCCTGAGCAGGGTGGAGAGCTGGCTGGGTGGGAATTCCCATCCCAGCCAAGTACCTCCCAGGAAGAGGTCCCTGCTCGGAGGTCGAGGAGGCTGTGCAGAACCAGCCAGGTGCCGGGGACCTCCCTTACGGCCTGAAGGGAGGGGGCCTGGACCCAGCATGCTCTGCTCCCCTGGCCTCCTCCCCACTGCCCACTCCCGGCACCCCCTTCTCCCTCCCTTTAGGCAAAGCCAGTAAAGTGGAGTGTGAGGCTGGCTCCTGTGTCTGGGAAGAGCTTACATGTGAATCTGTTTCCTTAGGAGCAGAGAATGGCTTATTTTACAATGTGACCAGGGGAGAGTTATCTTTCTCAGGTTTGCCGGGCCCCATGGGAAAGGGGGATTGCTTTATGCCACCCTTCAGAGTGTCAGCATGTACCAACACGGTCACCTCACTGGAAGGAGATTAAAATGATACAGGTGGGTGGCATCCCTGTTTAGGCTGCAGCCCAGCTGCCCAGGAGTCAGGAGGAAGGCCTTCTCCATGGGCGCTGCATGCCAGCCCCACGGTGCCAGTAGCCAGGCAGGTCGGGCAGCTGGGCCCAGCTCAGGCTCTGAGATGAGTTTGCTGTGGGAGCTGCTCTCCTCCTGACCCCATTCCCCCCATCAGTTCAGCCAGGCCAATGGGCAGGTAGTGACTATTCACTGGAGTCCCTGGGGAGCTTTCAAGCTTTAAAAACAGGACTAACGCCCAGCTTCAGGCCCAGAGATTCCGACCTAATTTGTTTGAGGTGGGACCTGGTTATTGGTGCTTTATCACAATGTTGGCTGATGCCTCCAAATAATTATAGAGTCTCTGAGATGGAGGGGAGGGGTGCAGCAAGGGCTGTGTGTTCCATACAGTAGCCACCAGCCACAGAGGCCGGTTTAAATTTAAACTGATAAAAATCAAACAAAAGTGAAAATTCAGTTCCCTAAATGTTCACTGGGACCGCCATGTGACTAGTGACAACTGAATTGGCCAGCAAAGGGATAGGACATGTCTGTCACCACAGGGAATTCTACTGGTCAGGGCTGATCTGGACCCTAGATTGTAGCCCACCTTGTCATTTCTTAGACGGGAGGTGGGCCCCACAGGCGAGTGGCTTTCTCATGGTCTCATCGCCGAATGAGGCCGGGTCCTGTGATCCCGGCGTTCTGAGCTGCGTCCGGCACTTGCAGAGAATTGAGGCAACAGTTTGGACTTTTGGACCTGAAGGTGTCCTGACTCACATGTCTTCCTTCTTACTATCTGCCTCTCCCACTAAAATGTAATGCTCAATGTCTGGTCCCCTCTGCCAGCGCCTGGCACTCCTGGGTGCTCAAATAATTGTTGGCTGAATGAATGAAGATCGGGAAGGGGGAAGGCAGATGGAATCATGCAGCGAGCAAACAGAAGGCAGAGCAGCAGAAATCTTTAAAAAGGCAGGTGGAGGAGGAGCAAGATGAAATGGCTGGAGCTGTACGAGGCAAACCAAGGCTGAGAGGGAGAAAGCAAGTCCTAGGAAGGAGGGTGACCACAGTGCCTAATGCTGCTGAGACACCCAGATAGGGACCCAAAGTGCAGGGGACACTGGGGGACATCAGCAGCATGCAGGCCGAGGCTATTGGCTGTGTTTGGGTGGGACGTGTTTGCTCAGAGCCCCCGTCAGGGCCTGGCTGCACCCAGTCCTTCAGAACCTTCTATGCCAGGATATGTCCCTAAGGACTGGCTGCCCCCGATTCACAGAGGCCAGCACAGCAGACGCGGGGTTATCGGAAGATGTGTTCTCCCTGCGGCTTCCTTCGCTGCTGAACCAGGGTCTGAGACAGCTGAAGACTCAGCCTCCTTCTCGAGCCGGGGCCTCGCCAGTCCGCACCCTGGACTGGCCTTTGGGGGTTGCCTCTGAAGCCGCCAGGCCGCACAAGGGGGAAAATGGAGCCCGCAGCCAGGAAACATCAGCGCTCTGACGCATCTTCACAGAAGGCTGCTGATTTTATCAGGAGGGGATCAGAGCCAAGGCTGTTATCTGAGGAGAGGCCTTGCTGGGCTGCTCAGAAGCGAGAAGCCCCCTCAGTGACCTCCACCTCCAGGCCCCATATCCTCGTCTTCAGGCCGAAGCTAAATTTCAAATGGAAGGTGTTTTTAGGAGAACATCTAGTGGTTTTCAAATAGTACTGTTTCATTCTCTTTTCTTTTTCTCAATTCCCAGTGGAACATATGACTATTCAAGTTTTTTTTTAGTATTCAGGAGGATGAGGTAGGGGCAATTAGAACAGTCATTTAAAATATTCCACCCAAATGCTGTGAAAGTGGTGTGCAAATGAGATCAAATGATCAGTGCTGGCGGGGCTCCCGCTGTGGGGAGCAAGCCGGTGCTCCTGGCTGCAAGTTGGAATGTAGGATAGGATGATGGCAGGAAGGTGCCCTCCCCACTTGCAGCACAGCTGAGATGCTACAGAATGCACTGACCCCCCTTATATTCCCAGCCTAGGTGGGCAGGGAGTCGGGATTGCTCTCGGAGAAGCAAGCCCTCTCGCCTTTAGGGAAATGGCCCAAAGTGCTCTGGGCGGACCGGTGGTCAGATTGCTGATTCCTCCGGGGGCTGGACCTGTGGCTCTGAAGTTGAGGGGACTCAGAGGAGGTCTCTCAGCTAATGAGGGTGAAACTAGGATTTGAACCCTGTCATCCTGACTCTGACTCACATGAGGTTTTACTTCAACATTCTTCAGGAAGCATCTTTGGGGAAGCTTTCCTCTTCTTTGAGACCCCGTTTTCCTATCTGTAAACCGGGTTTGTTGGGAGGAATAGCTGAGGAGTTTGTACACAGGGATGCCTGCCTCAAAGCTGGCAGGGGTACTCTGGTGTGGCAGGGGCAGTGGGTAAGAGCCTGGCACTGGAGTCAGACCATCTGGGCATAAATCCAGCTCTGAGACTCCCTCTGTGCCTGCGGGCAAATGCCTTAACCTCTCTGAACCACACCACTGCAGAATCTGTAGAATGGAATGATGATGCTCCCCTGTCTCCACCTCTCTCCAACTCTTAGAGCTGAGGAAGAGAATCCACTGCGCAGGATTCTGCAGGTGCAGTGTGTGCATAATCCCCTGCGGCACTGTTTGCCAGAATCTCCAGGGAGTGGATTTGAAAAAGCGCCCTGAGATTTCTTCTCCTAAAGGGACCACAGATGACTTGAGGTAGGGATGGTCCAGCCAGGTCCCCCAGGTTGCCTGTTGTACTTTACAGAATCTTAGCTGTGATGGTTAAATTTCTGTGTCAGCTTCACTGGGCCCTGGGGTGCCCAGAAACCTGGTTAAGCATTATTTCAGGGTGTGTCTGTGAGGGTGTCTCTAGAAGGCATTATCATTTGAATCAGTGGACCGAACAAAGCAGATCACGCTCCCCAGTGTGCGTGAGTACCACAAAATCCACTGAGGGGCTGAATAGGACAAAAAGGCAGAGGAAGGGTGAAATTCTCTGTCTGCCAGACTACTGAGCTGGGAAATTAGCCCCCTGCCCTTGGACTCAGGCGTACCGCACGGCCACTCCTGGTTCTCAGGCCATCAGACTCAGGCTGGGACTTACACCCCTGGCTTTTCTGGGTCCCCAGCCTGCGGATGGCAGTGGTGGGACTTCTCAGTTTCCATAATGACAGCCTGGATCCATTCCTCCTGATAAATCTCTCTCACTCTCTGTCTACATCTATTATCTATCTATCTATCTATCTATCTATCTATCTATCTATCTATCTATCTATCTATCTATCTATCTATCTATCTATCATCACCTATCTGTCTGTCTGTCTATCTATCTATCTATCTATCTATCTATCATCTATCTAGCTATCATATTGGTCCTGTTTGACCTTGACCAACACAGCTCCTCACAGGAAGTTGTGCCAACACTTGCTTGGTTTGTCTAAGGCAAAACCGCAGCTGGTGTCTGAACACATGGGTACTAAACAGCCTGCTTGTTTCCTTCCAATTCAACAATCCACTGACCCCGTCAGGACACTCAGTCCATCGGTGTGACCAGCCTTCCACTGTCACTCACCCTGCCCTAGCCAAGTGAACAATCCGGGCCGTCATTATATGCACTGCCGTACTCCTGCCTCCATGCCCAGCTTTTTCATGCCTTCTTGGCAAAACCAAAAAACCTGCCTTCCTACCACCCACTCTGGCCCTCCCCCTCGAAGCCAAATACAGCTGGAGGAAGACCCAGCCACATGGCCCAGTCTCCCTTGGAGCCCAGCCTGTGGGCCTCTGGGGGGTCTTGACCTTCCCTGGCATGCTCCCCAGCCCTCTCCTGCTCCCCTCCTCTCCACAGATTCGCAGGATCTCTGCCCCAGCCCTTCTCACAGCTGATGGCCTTGCACCAGCTTCAGACAGGAAATTACAGCAACTAAAATGACCACAGTTTCCTCCACCTACTGCCCATTTGCTTTCGCCATCTGTCTTCTCATACTGTGGATGGGGCATCGCTGTGTCCCGCTAAGGCCGGCCCTCGGCCACAAGGTCCCATCTCATTCGCCTGCTCTACCAGCACTGCCCCAGCAATCTCCCCCTTTCTCCTGCACCAAGGTTTCCTTTCCCCACGGGTTCATTCCCATTGACATTTAAATGCTGGGCTTCCTGCCTGTAAACCAAACCCCTCCTGTGACCCATTTCCCCTCCATCTGTCCCCCTGCCACCCCATCCCTTCCCTTCACAGCTACATTCCTGGGAAATATGGTCTATACTCGCTGTCCCAATTTCTCTCTTTCCAACCTTCTATTCTGTGTTTCCCTGATTGTTTTGTTACTAGTGTGCTACACATCTGAAGTGTTTCCCTATCCCCCTAGGGCAGGGACCTGGCTGGCTTTATTCATGGCTGTCACCTTAACTACCTAGAATAGTGCTGGTAGGACAGGGGCTAGATGAGTACTTTGTAAATGAATGAATGGATGGATGAATTCACAGAAGACAAAATGCTTCTACATACGTCAGTGAGTGACTTCACTGGATTTTCACAAAACCCTTGGCTTTGATCTGGGTTGGCTTCATTTTGCAGAAGAGGAAACAGAAACATAGGGAGTGGTTAACTTCCCCAAGGTGGCTGAGTCAGGATGGGACAGGTCCAGCTCTATCTGACCCCTGATTCAGTGCTCTGTCCCTTACTCCACAGCGGCCGCCAGCAAAGAGCCCACTCCTCTGTGTCTCCAGGGCCCTGACGGCAATGGCTTCCTGTCCGCCAGCTTTGAAGGTGGACCCAGAGCCAGGACTCAGATAGCAGGCGACTTGTGTGAACCTGACAGCCCAGGGTCTCAGCACTCCCCTTATCCACCCAGGGCTGCCCTTCCCTTGTCTCTGCAACCTCCCTAGTTCAGCAAAGCATTGATTGCATGATGCCTTGGTTAAGATATTTCATTTGGGGGTGTAATTATTTCAAAGGCAATTAAGTATTCAATATCTCTTATTCTGTCTGCCAGTAGGAATTAATAGAAAGCCTTTCAATCAGGAATAACTGCAAAACAATTTCTGGCCCCAAAGATAATCAATATTACCCAGTAGAGCATTCTTCTATCTTCAGGAAGCTATTCATTTCTGGCACTTTCAAAACCAGAGGGGAACGTTCTATTCCCATCTTTGTCAGAAGCCCCTGGCCACATCCTTTATGTAGTCTTCAAAAAGACAGAAATCCACATGGCTTTTCTGACCATCCATATCCGCGTCACCTTCCGGGATGCTGGGAATAGTCCTAAGAACCCAGCCCAGAGGGACAGTGGGTGATGACCACGTTCTCAGGAATACTATTCACTGCCTTGCCCTGAGCCTCCTGACAGATTTTCTGGGACCTGCAGTGGGAATATGAGACCCTTAACTGTGCCACCCAGTGATACATCCTGGGTGTCCCCCAGAGCCCACGGACCTGGCACCCTCCCAGGAGCCCTTCTGGAGCAACGAGTGGCATCTCCCCCTCTTTCTTTCATGAAGGCCCAGTCCCAGGGCTGGGCTCTGCCTCAGCTTTCCTGCTGTCATAAGGACTAAGGTCTTGCCTGCTTGGCAAGGTCCATGACATCCTATGCAGCCCTTGCCAGGCCCTGCCCAGGGTGGAGGAGGCTGGATGTGGGGCAGGGGGCACAAGGAACAAAGTCTTATTGCTGCATCCTGCTCTCTCTTCCCCCCTTCCCCCCTATTTTTCTTTGTTCATACCATGTTCTATTCTTAAGTCTGGAAGAACTATGAAGAACTCCCCCAAAAATGGCAATCGATGGAATGGGAAGATTTTCATATGCTAATAGGGACCGCTGATTTGAGACCTCCATTTACTTACAAAAGGGTAAGGAGGACTAAGGCAATAAGGTCATGGGGGACATGCAGAGAATGTTCTAGAACTGACATGTCTTTTGCATTGGCTTCTTAGATGTAAGGCTTCCACTTTCACTGGAATCACTGTAATTTCTGCACTTGTCTTTACCCTCCGAGAGGGTGAATGTCCCATACCTTGGGGTCATCTATAATGCTGGCCTCAGAAGGCTGTCTTGGAGATGCTGTGGGAGTTTTGAATGCTGACAGAAAAATTACCATCCAAGTGCCTCTTGGAAGGGGTGAAGAGGGGCCTATGTGTCTTAAAGGTTTGAAATAGGAGCACATGGTGAGGGGGTCTCTACAGCCAGCTGAACACGAGGCTGCTGGTGAACTCTGAGGAAGCCTTGGGAAGCCACTTCTGGTCTGTGATAATGTGGGCTCCATAGGCCTGCGGTTTCACTGGGCCAACATAGAAAGCTCTTGAAAAACAACCTATTTAAATAGAACCCAAAGGTATAATAGTTACTTTATAGAAGAGGATAAAATGTTAGGAAGCTAAAACTCACAGTAACAAAACGTTCATTTCTACTAATAGACCAGCAAGCCCCCCTCCTCCAGCCCTGCGCCTCCCCACCACTCCAGCTCAATCTCTGCACTCAGTTCCTCGAAAGCCACGCTCCTTCCCTCTACATAACAGGGACCTGACCCTTACAGAAAGGAGTACCCCCCCACATTATAGGTTCAGAGGTCAGGTGACTGCTTCACAGTCACCTGGTCAGGAAATGGCAGAGCTCCAATATTAACTCAGGTGTGTGTGAGCCCACGTGCCTTCCCCAGCAGAGATGCTCAGGAGGTTTTGGGTTCACCCTGCACATATGTCCCGTGAGTGCCCTGCGCATTGGAGGTCCATTTGCCGAAGGGTCAATGAGCACCCAGAATACAGCAGGCGTGTGGCTCTTCTGAGCTGCGCATGAGACCTAGCCCCCTGATTTTGTGATTTGGTCTATCCTCTGAAGTCCTCTCATTACTGCTTCCTAGGGTTCTGGTCTGAGATTTAACCCTTAGTTTATTGGTAAAGGGAGGGAGGAGGGGATGGCTGTGATTGCCAGGTGTGTTGTCCCTTAACAAGCTCTCCAGTGACCGTGTTGACAAGTCAGGCATGTCGCTGTCCTGTGGGTGGAGAGGGTGTGGAGCCTCGGGTGGGTGCCCTGTTGCATTGGTTGGCTGATGTCCTTGTAGCCCACGGCGCATTCTCAATGGATGGACAGGCAGACTGCTCCTCGTGTGGCTTCCCATGCCTGGTGAAGCTTCTTTGCAAGGGCAGGGGGTGGCATGGGCAGTGGGCCCCAGCTCCTACCAGATTCCAGTACTTCCTCCTCCTGACACCCCTTCCAAAGAGCCCTTTACAGCAGCGTCGTGCTTTTTGACCAGGCCATGTCTACACGTCCACACACCCACCCATCCACCCACCAGCACAGATTCTGTCTGTTCCCCATTATCTCCCACATAAGTCTCAGAACCCTGGGACATTGATTTAGGGTGACTTTGCTCAAAGGAACAGAAGGCCTCAACTCAGCCTGGCTGAAACCATGACGACATTTGTCATCTCCCAGCCCCGAAGCACAGAGCAAGACAGGCCCTGGATGGGTGTTAAGCCTCTGACTTCCGTTCCCCCGATCCCATCAGCTCAGCCCCATCCTCTGTGCTGGCTTCCTTCTCAGGCTGGAGGGAGATGGCCGCAGCAGCTCTGGGCATCGCAGACACAGACATGACACTGTCCCGAGGAGCAGAAGGGCCCTGCCTTCCTCTCTCTCTGAACCTCCCTCTGAAGCCACCAGGCCGTCAGGAAGAAGGAATTCAACCCAACTGGCTGTCTCTCTGGGTTTTAAATCAGGCCATGCTGGTGAACACGATAACCAACCACCGCCTTCAGCCGGTTTCCTGGGGACGGAGTGACCGGTCAGCTGAGCCAAGTCCTCCCGGGTCCTCCAGTCTCCTCGCTTATCACCTTGGCCTCACTTTGCTTTTCGCCCAGAAAGCAAGACTGTCAAGACAATGGCTCCCCTGTGCGGAGTGGGACACCAGAGAGGCCGCCTCCCCTCTCCACGCTTGCTCCCCGTGTCCACTGTGAGGGACTACAGGCCGAAGCCCACAGCGCCTCCTGACCTGCAAAGATCACGTGGGCGCCGGCGCCTGGGGACCCGCGCGCGAGCCGCAGCTCAGGGCTTCGTGAGCTGGCTGAGCAGGGCGGCCGCCCCACCTCTCCGGGCCTCGGTGTTCTCACCTGGGAGATGCAGCCATAACTCCTGCCTCCGAATCCAGCCGGCCGGTCGCCGGAGCAGTGTTCTGTGTACGGAGGGTTATGCAAATTTGGGGGTGGGGGCCCAAGGGGCTCCTCCAGGACCGCAGGCACCAGAGCCTTTGATTCCAGGGTCAAGGTGGAAGTAACTGAAGAGGACTGTGTCCACCTCGTCCTTCTTTAGTTTACTTTTTTCTTCTTTTTTAAGAAGGGAGCTTATCATAAAAGTCTTCTGCAACTGAGCTGGGGTGAAATGTCTAGAGTCTGCTGCCCTGAGAGGGAGGGAGGGAACATGATGGGAACTTTCTGGGCATAATTTGCCACTTGCCCACAGCATCTAGTGGGCAACTCCACTCCTTCCCCTAAGGTGCATAAAAGGAGGGTCAGAAAGCAAGCATCAGTTATGTAGTCATTCAACAAACTTCACCGAGCACCTTCTGTATCCTAGAACCCATGCTAGGTGCTGGGAAGATGAACGTGGATGAGGGAGGGCTCCAGAGTGGTGAGGCTCAGGGCCTATGGGCTTGGACCGCCGGCCCCACAGAAACTGGGCCACCAAACAAGCCATGTAAGCTCTCTGAACCTCAGTTTCCTGGACTGCAAAATGGGAACATTTCCCTTGGGGAAATCATAGGACACTATACAGCACAGGTTGGGGACCTGAGTTTCCCTGGGGCCTGGGTTGGGAGCTTCTGGAGAGGGTGACTCTAGGTGTGTTAGAGAGGGAAGGGAGTGCACCACGTTATCAGTGTGGACAGGCCAGGCCCCTGCACTGTCACTGCAACCCTCAGATCTCAGGGATCTGACACAAGATTTCTTCTTGTTCACGTGCAGGCCTTGTGCAAGAGCCTTAGCATCCAGGTGTCCTCCTTGCAGTGACTGAGGTTGCTTTGGCTTGGGGGATCGCCCATCTCACCAGAGAGCACATGGAGAGCTCCCACCTGCTCTTCTCTGCTTCCGTGGGAGGTGACACCATCTTACTGCCAGTGCAATGGCCAGAATGCCTCATGTGGCCCCACCTGACTGCAGGGAGGGCTGGGAAATTCAAGGGACCACATGGATACTCAGTGAGCAATATTTATATCTCTCATGCAGAGGATGGAGGTGGGAGTGCCTCTCAGGCAGAGGGAGAAACATAGTCAAAGGTCCAGGGACTAGAGGGAGATGGGAGTTTGGGAACCTGTTTGCAGATGAGGGTTCCTACAGTAATGAGAAAGAGAAAGGTGCAGGCTGGGGGCCGGTGGTGGACAGGCTGTGTCAGTGGGCTGCTTTGAGCTCTGGCTACAGTTGATTGGAGGACATGGCTGGAGACAAAGAGGCCTGCTGGAGGCTGTTGCAGGGGTTCTGTGCAAGGGCAACAGAGAAGGGGACACGTCCTTTAGTTGTCAAAATAGATTAGCTGAATCAAGAGATCAGCTGAAAGTTGGGGAGTTGGGTCGAGTTCAGGACAATCTCCAGCCTTCTCCCTTGGGTGACTGCCATTCCCCGAGATGGGGATCAGGGAGGCTGGAGAAGCTCTGGGGGGACAATGGGATGCTCAGTGGTACATCTATCTGCCCAGGAGGCAGTGGGATACACAATTCCAGAACTTCAGAGAAAGGCTTGGGCCGAAGACTTGTCAGCCCATGGAGCACAGCCATCCTGCCCCTCCGCGGGAGCGGTGGGAGCTCTGCTTGTCGGGCTTGGCCACCCTCCTGCAGCCCCTGCTAGGCTCTGCTCGGAGGACACAGGGAAACCAGCCAGTCCTGAAAGAACAAAGGGGAGGCTGACAGATTAAAAAGCACCATGTGTTATCTCAGCAACTGAAGTTGTGATCAATTTCCAGTCTGAACACATCCAATCCCGGGGCGGGCCAGGCTGAGAGGGGGTGAGGGACAAAAATGGAGGCGCTAATTATGGTAAATGGAAGCGCACTTTAAACTCAAGGCAGGGACACATGGCATCCATATCATGCTTTGCAACTGTGGAGGTGATTGCAACATGATTAATCCCCTTCATCTTTGGTCTTTGGGATTTGGAATCCACTGTGTTGTGAAGGGCTCCCTTCTGAAACTGGCTCTCTCAGCTCTTCCTCCGCAGACAGGAGCTCTTCACATAAGCATCATAAAAAGCCTCCTGCATTATTGAATAGTAGGCGTAGTTTTCGTGTGCCCTGAAGTCCTCTGCGGTTTTCTCTGTTGCACTCTGACATTTCAAAGGTTCCTTTCAAGTGAGCACAGACCCTTGGTTCAGCCTCCAGGGAGGTGTCCCTGAGGCCCTGAACACAGGAGTTATTGAAGATGAATCCGAGATGGGATCTTTACAAGTTAATCAATACCTGCCTTTTAATCTAGCCATTCTGCAGATGGGTAAAGTGGAGGTGCAGAGGGGTTAAGTCATGCGCCTGGTTCACTAAGAGCAAAACCAAAACCAAATCAGGATGCAAATGGGAACTAGAGGTCCTGCTGCGGATGATGTAAATCCTGGCTTCACCTTCCTCTGCAGAGGCGAACAGCCTGCTGGAAACAGAGGAAGAAGCCCCACCGGAAGACCCCTGCCCCAAAGTGGCACGCTTGGCAAATCCAGCCACACTTGTCGGAGCCTCTCTGTCCCGTGAAAGGCCTGAGCACCTTTTATTAAACAGAGGTCTATTCAACAATAAATATTTCTCACGCACAGCCAGGGGAGGTACCACAATTGGCTCTTGCCCAGCCTGGCTGAGTCAGCAGGAAATTAGCCAAGGTGCAGAGAAGCTTGTGTTTTGTGGTTTTGGTGGCAATTTTTCAAATAGGCTGGAAAGCACCAAGGACCAAAAAACCCACTTGAATGCCACCACTCCTGTGAGTCCCGCTCTTGGGAAAAGTCGGTCAGGTTCCTGGGGTGCTGGGAACCTCCTGCAGGTGGAAGAAAGGGTGGCTGAACGTTCCGGGGCACCTGGAGAGGTGTTCACACTAAAGCTCTCTCACCTGTGATTTCCTTCTCTATACAATGGGACGAATCACGTTCAATCCTCAGAGCTGCCGTGGGGGTGAGATTTTCTGCTCAATGAAGATGGTTTTATAGGGAGAGCAATCGCCTTGGATTAAACCCTCCCCATTAAGTTAGGACTTCTGATCTGAGTCCTCGGGCAGGACCCTTTTTCTGAGCCCACTGCCTCTATAAAGTGGTGCATTAATACCTCCCACATGGATCTGTGAAATGAGGGACTGGACAGAATGAGAGTGTTTGTACATTGCGACCCCCTAGCGTTTGCGCAGTATTGCTCATTTTGTCCTATTACTCGGGTGCTTTTCCCAGGACAGGTCCTCACGGAGGGCGCCCAGCTGCCTGTGGGACCTTGTTTATTTGCGTTAGGCTTTTAGCCGAGGCTGGGGATAGCTCCTTCGGTGTTTCACAGAAAAGGGCTGGTTCTGTTGGCCCTTCACGTAATTAATATTCCAAATAAGAATTATGCAGTTGTTTCTATGAATATTTGATTCCTTTAACTCTTCAAATATCAGCTCAGCTCTGGGGCTGAATGGAAGATGAAGTAACTGTTTTCACCATGACACTGCCGGGGAGGCAGCTGGAGGTCCTGATCAGTCTGAGAAGTAATGACTTGGTTGACAAGATGCAATGTTGGTATTGCTGGTTCCCAAAGGGAGAGAGAAACTCTTTTTGAAGCAAGTATGGAGGAAATTGACTTCTGAGTCCACAGCCCCTGGGAGGCAGGAGGGAAGCCCTGTGTGGAGGCTGGTTTCAGGTAAGCTCCCAACTGGAAGGTTGGTGCCTGACAGGTGGGACTCACAGAGGCCCAGCCTTGCGGGGAGACCGAGGGCAGGGGTGGAGAGGGTGACTCTGGGCTCCCCAGTGGGCATCTGTGGAAGGCAGACAAGAACCAGGACCAGGAGGATTAGGTGTGCCCCTCACCTTGGTGCAAAGGCAATGGTCCTCCCGGCTCTGGAAAGGGGGACACCAGGCCTTTTGGTGCAGGAGATGGCCTTCTGACTTCTTGGCCTCTCAGGTCCTGGACTCTTCCCTCCACAACTCTTCTCCCGTGGGGCCAACCAGAGGCCAGGTACATCACAACTCCTGAGATACAGACTGGCTTGGGCCAGGCAATAAAGGAGTAAACAGGAAATGACAAATTGCTCTGCAGATTGTCACCTGAAAGAGCTCATGGTCCTGTCGGCATGTGCGGCCGGGGCATGAATATGCAAACCCAGAGCAAGATGGCTGGGCGCCACCCAGGCTCCTGCAGGAGACCCCCGACTGAGGGCTGCAGCCCTTTCAGAGCTAACCTGCTGGGTGTGGGGCTCTCAGGTGACCTCTGGCCCATTTCTGGGTTGGGTGTACCCCAAACAGAGCACTGATTCAAGGGCCCATGGGCCCACTCCATCTCCTGCCCAACCGTTTGCAAAGCTGTGTGCCTTTGGTCAACAACATGAGCCTCAGTTTTCTCACCTGTAAAATGGAGCTATATCCTCTTAGCCTTACCCAGAACCTCACAGGAACAGCTTAGCTGGAGTGCCTGGAAGCCATCTGTACAGAGCCACAGAAAGGGAAACCCCTGGACATCTCTCCTGCAGTCTGACTGGATTGGCTCCCACTAGGTTGTCCTTTTATTTTTCTGACTAGTTGCCAATCAAAGATTGTTTCAAAAACTAGACTATTTCACAATAAAACTCTTATTTCTGGCTCCTGTGCCTAAGGACCTGGAGCTGCTAGCAGGCACTGAGACCTGGCTGCCTGCTGGGATGGGCGTGTGTGCTCCACAGTGCCTCAGACCCCACCATTCCCCATTAGCCACCTCTGGTCCCCTCAATAGTGTCTTGGCCTGAGGTAATGTGCAAGGCCCCCAGCACAGTGCCTGGCATAAGGTCAGGGTAGGATAACATCTCCTCCCGTCTCTGTGTGGAGGTGAGGTGGGGAGAGCACCCTGTGCTCCTGGAGAGGGGCTCCTGCTCTCCCTCATCTGCCCTCCCCTCCTCTGACCTGTCTCCTTGCTCTGCCCATGTCCTTGGGAGGCTGGGGTAGATTGGAGACCAGGCCTCTGAGAGGTGCCAGGAGGTCAGCCCCCTCCTGATGTAGCCCATGGGTTTAGGCCCCCATTTGTGCCTTGGCTGAGTACCTCCCACTTCAACCTCCTCAAATGCTCAGGATGCCTGAGGCTTGGGAGGTGACAGAGCCACCTGTCCTCTCCTCATAGACCTGGGGAGGGAAGGTGGAGGGACAGGAGGAGAAAGGCTTTCACCAGACTTTCAATCAGGGTGTGGAGGGCCTCCAAAGCTCTTCCCTGGGGCCAGCCTGGGGCCAAGGGTGGGGTGTGGGCAGTTCCTTGGGGTCTTGAGAGGTAAGGAGAGTGGGATTCAGAGAAGAGGGTCAGGTGCCAGGTAAGGGGAGGGGTGTGGAAGGCAGATTTGGAGGCCAAGCTTTCCTTGCCTAAGGGGGCTCTCCATGGCTGTGCTGGGCAGCTTCTCTCCATCCTCCGGCCCCTGACCCATCTGCACCCCCTCTGTCCCCAGACACTCATGCACCAAAACCATAGTCACAGATTGGGACACTGCAGGGTCAGAGAGGCCTCAGAGCTCCGCCAGACCACGGGGGTTTTTTGGGATGCTTGGACCAAGAGCTAAATACAATGGGGCTGCTGAGAAGGTTATCAAGAAAGACAAAGAAAACTGATAAATCTTAAAAACTTATCCCGGTGAGAAAGCCCACTGGGTCCTAGTCCTTAAAATCTGATACTCGTTAATCTCCCTGATAACAAGGACAAAATACCCACCAGTACCTGGCTGCAATTTAACCACTTTGTTTTCTTTTAATTATCTTTACTTTTTGATAAACTTTTATGGCAAATGAGAGTGGTTTTTCCATTTATAATGAAAATAAATCATTATTTAAAAATAATTTTAAAAACTCTTTTTACTGTGGACATTTTGAAACTCAGACCAGAAGCAGAGATGGGTGCCTGACATGCCGTCCTCCCGCCACAGCCACCACCGGCTCATGGCCGGTGCCCTTCTGCCTTGCTGCCCGCTCTTCCCACGCGCCATTGCTGATCCAACTCCCAGCCGCCCTACAGCTTTGCCTGCATATATTTCAGCATGTAAATTGCTTCTGTGTGAGTGTACTGAAAGAATATAGCAAGTAAATTCGTCTCTAGAAAGTTCCAGATAAAGCAAAATGAGAAGGGCCTGGATGACAGGGGGTTGGCGACTGTCGCCCAGCCCAGCTTCTTCTTGAGTGCATGAGAAGCGTAGCCAGGTGGGCCCTGCCCACGTCTGGCACAGATGCGCCCCGTGGTTCTTCTTGTTCGTATTCTTTCACACTGGGGGCCTCCAGAGGGCAGGGCTGCAGTCCTGGGGGCTTGTGGGTGGGCCCCAGACCCACTTAGGAGGAAGTGACAGAGGGCAGGAGGAACTGGTAGACTCCCTAACACAAATTTGTGGTGGGCTGGAGTTTTAAAAGACCTCCACCACCTTTGCCTATGAATATGTAGGTTACATGGCAAAAGAGACCTTGCAGATGTAGTTAAGGTTACCAATCAGTTGACCTTAAGATAGGGAGATTATCCTGGATATTAATGTCTTGAATTGCACAGGTGGGCTCCCTATAATTACAGGGCCCTTAAAAGCAGAAGAGAACGGTTCCAAGAGCCAGAACTTGAAATGTTGTTGCTGTTTTGAAGTCAGAGGAGAAAAGACCACAGTGAGGGGAAATGTGGGTGGTGCCTAAAAGCACACAGGGACCTTGTGCTGATGTCCATTGAGGACTGGGGACCTCAGGAACCATAAAGAAAGGAATTCTGCCAACAACCTGTTTGAGCTTGAAAGATATTTCTTCCCTGGGTCCTGCAGATGTGATCCCAGCCTGGCTGACACTTTGATTTTTATCTTGTGAGGGAACCCCCCAGACTTCTGACCCATAGAACTGTAAAGTAGTAAATGGATGCGGTTTCAAGCCACTAAGTTTGGGGTAATTTGTTATGCAGCAGTAGAAGACTGGTACAGATAGTGAGCATATATGCTTTCTGTCACTTCTCATGGGTAACAAAGATTCTATGACATTTTAGGGAGGGCACAATCCCAAGAGATAATCCAGTTGCACCCTTCAGGTCAACAGCAGGGATGTGAGGCTCAGACAGGGGAAGGAGCCCACCAAAGTCTCACAGCAAAGGAGGGGTGGAACTGAGGTCAAGACCAGAGCCTGAGGTCTTGCAGGCTGTCTCCAGTGCCCACGTATGCTGAGCAAGGCTCTGCTAGGGTCAGGGGAGGCCCCTGAACAGAATGCTCACACTTCCTAGCACCCACCACAGCCACAGCCACGGCCACAGCCACACTCCCACAGGGTTTTGGTTTTGGGTTTTTTTGGGGGGGATTGGGGAGAAGCTTCAAAACAAGTTTATTTTCTCACAGTTCTGGAGGCTGGAAAGTCAATGATCAAGATGCCCAAGGTAGATTTCATTCTGATGCCTCTTCTTGGCTTGGCAGTGGCTGCCTTCCTGCTGTGCGCCCACAGGACCCTTCCTTTGCGGGCGCTTGGAGACACAGAGTGTGATCTCTTCTCCTCTTTTTATAAGGCTACTGAGCCTGTAGAATTAAAGCCCCACCCCTACAACAACAAAAACATATCTAATTGGTCACCACTGGAGGATACTGGTGAACCAAGCCATTATTTTGAAAACTAAATAAAAGGACAGAATTAAGCATTTATCTTGCTAACTGTACTGTTGTATCTTTACTAACTGTACCACAAGGTAAAACAATCGTAGACAAGGAAAGCTTACTTTTATAGAAGTATCCCAGCTAATATATGAAGAAAGAATAGTGGAGTTTGAATATCATAATTTTGGCACTAGGAGCATTGTTAGCTGTGAACATCACAAAAGGAAAGACAACCAGCTATCACGTGCTCTTGACGGAAACACACACCACCATCCAGGATTCTTCCCTAAAACATCTAGCCGGACTCTGATTGAGCCTGTAGATTTAACTACCAATTCAGAAAATGGAGGAACTTGTTAAACAACGCCCCCGGGATCCAATCAGCAAAACCTAGTCTTGGGAAACTATAGCACAAACAATCTGATTTTTTTTTCCAACAAATGAATTGTAAGGGGGGAGAAAATGAAATGGAAGGGAAAACTAAATTGAGAGTAATTGTAAACCATATATAGACCAATTGCAATGTGTGGACTTTATTTAGATTTCTTCAGAAAAAAGGAAAAAGTAATGACATTTCTGAGACACTTGGAATTCTGGATATTTACTAGGTATGTGATGCTATTGGTAATTGATTCTTTAGTGTGATAGTGATATTGCAGTTGTACATAAAAGAGGAATTCTTATACTTTTTTGAGATAGCTATTGAAAAATTTATAGATGAAATAATATGGTATCTGGGGTATGCTTCAAAATATTATGGGAGAAGTAAGTGGATGGGGATACAGATGAAACAAGATTGGCCATGATTTGCTATATACTCCTCATATTTAATCTGATGAGGTGTATGGAGGAATTCATTATACACTTTGGTCTACTCTTATCTGTATTTGAAATTCTCCACAATAAACATTTTTAAAAGGGGAGATAGGACAAAACTTTGATAACAGTATTACCTTGTTTGAATGTGGATGTTATGAATGCTGATGAATTCTCAACACTGATGGAAAAATGTGCTTAAATTTCTGTCAGAATGTAACATCACATAAATAGAAAACAATATGTATATTTTTTACATGTATAAAAAATCTTAATATATAAAAAATTTTAATTTATAAATCTACAAATTTTAAAAGGGAGGGGAAAAGATTAAGCTCCTTGAGAGTCCAGTAAAAGGCAGAAAGCAAATGAAAGGACAACACAATGAGAAAGTTTTCTTGCGTTTAGTTAATTCCAAGTGACTCTATTTATGTAAAGACCCTGTATGGGTTTTTTTTTCCTTTTTTCTTTTCTTTTTTTTAAAGTTTTTTTTTGTTGTTGTTGAAGCATATGATTCACAATATTATATTGGTTTCAAATATACCTGGTGATTCCATAGTTATCTACATCATTAAATGCTCACCCCAACTAGTGTAGTTACTGTCAACATAACAAGATGTCACAGAATTATTGACTCTGTCAATATTCTCTATGCTGTGTTTTCATCCCCCTGACTAATTTATATTATGATTGAGGCATTGTGCCTCTTTATTCCCTTCACCTGTTTCACCCAACCACCTCAACTCTTCCCAGATGGTAACTGCCAATCATTTCTCAGGGAAAGACCCTGTATGTTTGTAAAAGCAAGAAAATGGAAGCCCAGTGACTTAACTCCAAGGAGAGGAATGGGAATTAAGTGGGAATTAATTTTTAAAAAAGCCCCACCCTAAGACCTTATTTAACCACTTTTTATTACAAAGTATAACTGATATACAACATTGTATTAGTTTCAGGTGTACACATGATAATTTAATATTTGTATACATTGTAAAATGATCACCACAATAAGTCTGTTTAACACCTGTTGCCATATGTATTTACAAAACTTTTTCTTTTTTTCTTGTGATGATGACTTTTAGATCAACTTTCATGGAAACTTTTAAATATGCGATACGGTATTATTAATTATAGTCACCATGCTGTGCATTACATCCCCAAGATCTATTTATTTACAGCTGGAAGTTTCTACCTTTTGAGCCCCCTTCACTCATTAACCCCCAGAAGCCCACCACCCCACCCCCAGCAACTACCAATCTGTTCTATTAATCTTGATTTTTTGTTTGACTTGTTTTTCAAACTCCACATGTAAGTGAGATCATATGGTATTTGTCCTTTTCTGTCCGACTTATTTCACTTAGCATAATACCATCAAGGTTCATCCATGTTGTTGCAAATGGCAAGATTTCATTCTTTTTTATGGCTGAATAGTATTCCACTGTCCATGTATATTATATATACTACTTTTTTATTCACTCATCCATCAATAATGGACAGTTGAGTTGTTTCTATGCCTTTGCTATTATAAATAATGCTGCAAAGAACATAAGGGTGTATATATCTTTCAGAATTAATATTTTCATTTTCTTCAGATAAATATCTAGAAGTGGAATTGCTAGATCATATGGTAGTTCTATTTTTAGATGTTTGAGAAACATCCATAGTGTTTCCCATAGTGGCTGCATCAATGTACATCCCTACCAGCAGTGCATGAGGGCTCCCTTTTCTTTACATCCTCACTAACTTTTGTTATTTCTTGTTTTCTTGATATTAGCTATTCTAACAGGTGGGAGGTGATATCTCATTGTGGTTTTAATTTGCATTTCCCTGATGATTAGGGATGTTTAGCATCTTTTTCTGTGTCTCTTGGCCATCATGTGTTTCTTTTGAAAATTCAGGTCCTCTGCCCATTTTTTAATTGAATTGTTTGTTTTTGTTATTGAGTTATATGAATTCTTTATATACTTTGGATATTAACCTCTTATCTGATTTGTGATTTGCAAATATTTTCTCCCATTCAGTATGTTGCCTTTTCATTTTGTGGATGATTTTGCTTGCTGTGCAAAGGCTTTTTATTTTTTCTTACATTTAAGTCTCTAATCCATTTTGAGTTAATTTTTGCATATGGTGTAAGGTAGACATTTAGTTTCATTCTTATGCATGTGGCTCTTCAGTTCCCCAAATGCTGTCATCAAAGCAACTTCTAAGGAGCTGACTTTCACATTGTTACCCTCCATCCAAGAGCAGATAACCCCTGGAAATGGACACCAGTGTTTTGTGGCACCACCGTCACAGAACTCATCTTTCCAGCACACTATGTCT